CAAGAAAACAGGCATATTCAGAAACTGTGAGATACAATTAAATATAATTCTACACAAAGACTTTTTAGAGATATTTTTAAATTGCATAAAAAAATGAATGATTTTGTGTTTTGATTTTTGCTTTATTTTTCTCTTTTTGAAAATCCTTAGCTTCTTCTCAGTACAAACATAAAATATGAAATTAAAATATTCCCTTATGTAAGTCTAAGAGATTTGTGATGGTAACAAAAGACTACAGAGACACTGTTAATCAGTTAAGAATCATTGGAATGACGTATGTACTGTAAATGTAGAAGAGCAGCTTCACCTTTTAGCACTATGACTCATTTTGATTATAATTGCTTTTGCAGGACTTTTACCCTTTCCCCCAACCTTTATTTTATTAGCACAAAGACAACAAAATTTAGCAGAAGGCAGCAGAGAAAGATAATTGTTAGCAATGACTTCTTGAGATGCTCTGCTTTAGAATATAAGTGGCTCTAAATTGTGAAGTATCAGAATATGTAGAATTGTACACTACTCTCTAAGCTGCCTTCATTCAAGCTCAGGACCTTAAATGAATTCTTCATTCTCATTTCTAACAGTTGTGGCAAGTAACAATATTTCCTTCCAGTGAGGGAAAATATCCCAGTAACATCAAACAGCTTGAGTTATTAATTATCATTTTTATAATTGATCCTAAACTGACAGAACCACTAATCTTAAAATAAACCAAACTGTATAACAAAGGTAATAATATAGAGAGTGGGAGAAAAGTTTATCTTATCCAAATTATGAGAATTCTCCAAACTGTCATTAACGAGGGAAAGAATGAACACATGCTTTGATGCCAGTCCTCAGTTATATATAAAGTTTGTGGAGACATATATCAACATAAGGAATATCCTGGAGTATTTAAAGCAAGGACTTATCCTTGGAATTAACTGTGGTCTCACTATAAACCTAATACCTCGAATTGAATCAGCAAGCTAACCATGAAATGCATCAATGGAATATAATTAAATTTCTTCTAGCTAAATTAGCTGCATTTTAAATTTAACGATGACACGTATGCTCCATTTTCTGATCTTTCATAAGCAGTTGAATCTTTTTTTTTTGTATCATTGTTTGGTTTTTGTTGTTGGTGGTGGTGTTCTTTTGTTTTTAAGTTTTGCTGGGAATTTCTCCTCAGTGATGCAGATACAAGGAAAAGTGGAAAGTAATAGTTTCCTAACTTTCTTTCCCTTTTGTACTAAGCAACTTCAAGTCAAACAGTACATATTAAGTAGCTATTGTGTCATGGAACTAGTATCAGAAAGTGAGCAGATTAGAAAGTAAATTAATTTTGCATCCATGGTCAGTGTTTACGTTTATGCTTTCAAAGTCATGTATTACATTACTTCTGACCCAAATTGCTTTACTGAAATACTATATTCGAAGATAACAACAAAACCACAATAAAATCAACTTCTTCCTCCCAGAATATATATGAGAGACTTTATAAAAACTAACCTTTTATTTCAGTCACTTTATTTTATCACAACTTGGTCTTTGAACTCTTGGATCAGTAATAAGATAACATCATCAACATCATCAACTTAGTAAACTGCAGAAAAGATGGCTCTGCCATGTCTTCCCCTGCCAAGGTCCCACCTAACCTGATTAGGTCCCTGACTCTCTGGCATGTTTCTTGGCTAAAGCTCCTAACACTTAAATTTTCATTTTGATTAAGCTAAAATATAAGATAAATACAAATAAGATTCTTCCTGTAAATGTGTGTAGTGTACACGAATCACTTCTGGTAACATTTTCCAGAAATACTTTAATTGCTGGAGAGCTTTTCTCTTCTATCCGCCAAACCTTTTTTTTTTTTTGTGTGTGTGTGTGTGTGTGTGCTCTTTGGATAACAAGGCACATGAACCTACTCACACATTAAGTATAAACAATGCTAAACTGAATTTTAAAAGGTAGAACATATAAAACAGAATTCATGTGTTTGATTTATTATGAATTCACATGATTCTTTACACAATAATCAACATACTTAAAAAATGTATGCTTTGCACTTTTTACTTGACAACATGAAACATAAAGAATGAATCTAAAATAGCATTCCTGTCTGAAAGAATACAATCTACTTGAAGGAAAGAATAACATAGCAAGAACAAAAATGTTCGAGATATTACATTATTAAGGCTACATTTTGAATGTTCTCTTTAATACGGGCATGTATGTCTAAGAGGTGTTCAAACTTAAGACAGAGCTAAAATCCTGTTCTTACTCTCCCCAACACCTATTTTCCCCACAGTCTTGCCCTTCTCAATGAGTGACAAATTAATTTCCACTTGGAGTCATTTTTGGTATTTCTCATTTATTTTATGCATCCCATCTAAAAGCAAATCTTACAGACCCATTGAAAGATTCTACCTGCCTACCTGGGATCCAGCCACTTCTGGGCACCTCATTACTCTTACCCTGGCCCAACCCACACCACTCTGTTTCGTGCAAATCAATGTTACAGTCCCCAAACCAGGACCTCTCCTTCCTTTTTGTCCACTAGAGTCTGGTCCCATCCCAGATTGTATTAAGATGAAAATCACATTATGCCTCATGATTTTTTTAAAAAAGTGGCTTTTTGTTCCATCAAATAAAACCCCCAAAGACCTACTATGTCTTCAAGGCTGGTCCGAATTTGAATCTGAATCCCATCATTGTCCTCATCTCCTGTAGTTCTCCACTTCATACCATCCCAGCCCCAGCGGCTGTCTGCTCTTCCTTTATCCTGTGTGTCATGCTCTGATTTCAGGGATTTGGGCTGGTCCTCTGTCTGAAATGCTGTTTCTCTGAGAGCCATCTTCCCCTTTTTTAAGCCTCTTCTCATAAACTGTCAACTTCGTGAATGCTTCTCTGACCACTCTCCATAAAAGTGCAGTTCTCCACTAATCCTCTCCTCTGATTTGTTTGTCTGCCAAAACTCATTACCTCCTAAAATATAACTATTAGAATTGGTGGTTAATTTTATTTATTATTTTTTTCTCCTGTATTAAGATATAAGCTCCCATCTCTTTCTCACACTGATGTGTTCCCAGTACTAAGAAAAATACATGTCACATAATAAGTATCAAATGTGTGTTTGATAAATAAATACAGGCACATAAGGAGCCTAAGAAGCCAAACTATGCTTCTTTCAAACATTTCCTTTGTTCAAGCTAGAATAGCAATTTATATAATTTTCATCTGCATGGTAAGACCCTTTTTGATTCATTGAACTTCACATTCAACATTTTTGAAGTAAACTATCTGATTTTATTTGAAGGAATAATTTTTATTTTTTGAAATAAATTGTATCTTATATTCTCAAATATCTTTTCGTTTTTATTATTTAATCAAGCTTTCCCTGTGGGGCAAGAGAGATATTACTTTTGAGGCACTACTTCACTGAGAAATAAAGTACATTAGCTGCTAAAACATGCAACCTCCAAATCTTCATGCTTTAACACATTAACAAGACATTTCACACCCACATTGTAGTCCAATAGCTCTATGGCAAATTTCTTCCCAGTGATGACTCAGATCTAGGCTTTTCCAATTTTATGACATTGCTATCTTAAACCTGTGGCTCTCAGAATTGCCAAAGGAAGAGAGAATGAACATAGGATAATTGTGCAGAGGGATTTATAGCTGTGCCTAAAAGCGGCATGTGTCATTTTTCTTACATCTCATTGGTCAGTACATAGTCATGTGACTCCAACATCACTGCCTAAGAAGCTGGAATTGATAGCTTTCCTGTTGACCTAAGAAGATAATAAAGTCAAACAGCATTTGGTGAGCACACAGAATTGTCTCTGGCACAGTATGTTCCATGTCCAGATGAAGGAATATTCCAAAACTGTTGCACCCACTCATACAACTCTCACACACAAAATTTTTTGGTCACAAACTCCAAATGTATTTAATTAAGATTTTGAGTGTTAAAGCAAAGGATATAAGACAGTATATAGAAAGGAATAACTGAATGGGGTTTTGATGTTTTCACAAGGAGGCAGTTAAGTTTCTCACTTTTGCTCCAGGTTTTGCTACTGAATCCTTTAGAGAAACTAACTTTTTAGTCCAAATTGTATTTAGAAGCTTCTTCATACAAATTAAAGAAAATTGAACATTGAAGAGTCAGAATTTTGTGGGGTTTGGTGCTAAGCTACCTTTCAAATGAGCAATTTTTTCCATATCAGAAGATTTCCCAGAGCAACCATCATAATTCCAAAATATCATTAATGAAATTGTGACAGGAAGTCACACATAAGAGTTAGCATTATACTGGGGAAATATAAAAGAAGCAGGTGTTTGGCCTGGAAGAAGCAGTTTTAGTTTGCAAAGACTCCATGAGAACTACAAATGTCTGTGAGACTGACACCCATTTAAGCTTTTGTTACTGAAGTTCAGTCGATGACAATCCATTACCCAACAGGAGCCAGAGAGAATCACCAAGTGAAACAAAAGAAAAAGCAGTTCTCCAAGACACCGAAACAAGACTGAAGAAGTCCTTATAGGATTTTGAAATAGTGTCCTGAGGCAAAGTTGTCCATGTGATGCTGAAAAGAATATTGTGAACTTACAAACCCCCAGAGTGGTCTTGAAAATGGACTTCTAAGTCCATCCTCTCCTCGTACAGTTTTACTCATACTGACAAACGACATTCAATACAGGCAAGCAGACATGCAGACAAAACAAAGTATTGGAAAAGTGGGTGTTAGGTACTTAAAAAAATCCATAAATAACCTTCACTAAAAAAAAATAACACAAATTGATCAGGACAATAAAATCCCAAAGAAGGATCTATTTCTTAATTCAAATAAATTCAATGGCAAGGGACTTTAGCAAAGTACCAGAGCTCAATTTTCACCATAAAATATTAGTAATGTTGTATAAAACATTATTATTTTCTGCTTCAAGTAGAAAAACAAAATACACGGATGTAGAATGGTTTCAATGAATTTCTGGAGTTCAGTGTTGCATCAACTTACCTTCCAAATATAGGCTGATTGGCTCCTCCAGCAAGTACAAATAGAAGGCATCTCAGAGATGGGCACTGTTATTAAAGAAATCAAGTAACCATCAGCATTTAGAAGGTGATCTGGCAGTCACAACTGGTGTTTTCCTAATGCATATAAACTGACAATACCAATGGCAGACAAAGTTAGTCTGAGGCCATGATACAGTAAGACAAAGAAAGACCACTTCATAATTTTCACTAAGCACAAATAAAGTCACTGTGAACCCACAAAATGCTAAATACCCCATTTCTCAATCTAATCCTTTAGGATCTTTACCAATTCTAGTTTCATTTTTGTACTTATTTTCCCCTTCTATAAATACAATTTATTAAGATACCCAGGCATGCAACAGCACATCCTTCTGGCAGTATACAACCTTGTCAAGGTTATATATGCTTCCTTAGTTCCTTCCCTAAATCCCCAGCTAAAGGCAAAATCCTATATCATAGTGGGTTTGTTATAACATCTTTTCATTGGGTGTATAATTTTCCTTTGGCTGCTGTAATAAACTATCACAAACTTGGTAGCCAGAAATAACAAAAATTTATCCTCTTAAAATTCTAGAAGCCAAAAGTGTGAAATCAAGGAGTTATTAGAGCTGTGATCCCACTGGTAGTTCTAAGGGAAAAAATACTTTTTACCTCTTTAACCTGGTGACAGCTATTGCATTCTTTGACTTGTGGCCGAAGGCATCACCACTCCAGTCTCTGTTTCATGGTCATATCATCTCCTCCTCTGTATGTCTGAGTTCTGCTCTGTGTGTCTATCTTCTCTGTGAGTCAATGTAAAAATGCTTATCATTTGCTTTAGTGACAACCCAGAATACCTAGGATGTTCTCCTGATCTCAAGGTTCTTAACTGTTGAAGGTTTTTAATTACATTTGCAAAGACATTTTTAAAAATAAGGTAACTTTCACACATCCTGGAAATTAGTATACAAATATATCATTTGGGGGGCCACCAGTTAATCCACTACACTGAGAAATCTCATGGTTCCCATGGTGTGTTCTTCCTCATTGTAGTAAACTAAAAGTATGAAGGATCTCAAAGTCCAAATGAAAAAAAAAAATTCCAGAAAAAGTGGGATCTGTTTATTCAACTGCTCTGACATGAAATTTTGGACCATAATCTCTAAATGTCTAGGTTGACCATAAACCATAGCTTTTTATGACTTAAAGAATAATAAGAAGTAGGCAAGAGAAAAGGGAAACAGAAGAAGAAACAAAGTCAATGAAATGATCAAAATTAAGAGCAGATGAGATAGAATATTTTTAATATTCCATCTCCCTTCCCTTCTTCTTCCCTGGTCTTTTTTCCTAGTTTCTCATTAAATTGAAGATTAATATAACTCACATAATTCCTTCTGATTATTATGTATCCTCTGCCTCAGCCAAGTAATGCTACTCACATAAAATTCAACCAATTATATGAACAAACTTCTTATTTTTTCTTTGATCTTATTAGGACATATTATTTTACTAGGAAAATTATTTTGTATAAAGAAAAATGGTGACAATATTTGATTATAAGGTGACTATAATATTGTAATGATTCAGACATATCATCCTCCTTTTGAAAAAAAAATATTTGAGGATATCTCAAAGACTTATGAACTAAAGAATAACTACAATCTTTATTTCAAATACTTATCTGAATAGTTTTTTAATAAGTTTCATCAGTTAAAGAAAGAAGTATTCAATCAGTTAAATAAAGACCTCATGAGAAAGCTTCCAGGAATTCTTAGATTTTAAAATCTCTGAGAGTTTCTAATACACCTGCAGAGGTAAGAAATACTACTCCAATGAATCATGAACAACATTACAAATCAGCTACCTTGTCCATTCTCCTTTATTTTGTAAAGAATCTGATACAAACAGGAGCACATCAAATTTCTTACAAAGCAGTTTTTGTAACCATAGTGTCTGGCTCAGTAATAATGATTACTTAGATCACATTAGAGACTTCAAATTCTACACTGTCGGAAGTATTGGTATAATAACTTCTAGCAATAATTTGATGAATAATAAATTTATTTTCTATCATGGTGTGTGGAGAGGTGACAGGCATTTTTAAAACTTCAGGACTTAATATAAAGTCCATTTTAAGTCCATGTGTAGAAAACTGTCTCTTTTTAATGTCTATCAATACATAGATTCAAATATTAAATGTAGTTTTCTTTGCACCTCTTCTGGCACAACTTGTAACAGTAAAGAAATTTAAAACTTGCTATTATCACAAATGAGATTTCCTTATGCCAGATGGATCTACATGCCATTAAAATATATTTTTAAAAATTTTTTTTCAATAACATGGACAAATAGTAGAACTAAGGTCTAGCTTAATAACCTTGTTAACCCACTAAAGAAGCTTTTTTTAATTGATCAATTTATTTCCTTCACTGATATTACCTGAAATATTCTTGGATGAAACTTAATGGCAGTCAGAAGGAAAATGATAGGCTTCTTGCTACTTTCGGCTCTGGGCACATCTTCAGATATGGAGGGAAAATCAATAAATAGTTTACCTTATGTCTTCTCACATCAATTCATTGGGGAAACTCCCCTGGGTCATATTTGTTGGAAACTGGAAGAACACATCCCCTGTGAAACAATAAAGTCCAGGAAAGATGGGCAAAGACAAAATATAAATCATAATAATACTTCACATAACTCCTTTTTTCCATTTTAAAGGGTAAATAAATCTTTCTGTTCATAATGGTGAAATGATATGACTACTTTCATCTCTTTGTCATACCACATATTCAAAGCACTAGAGTTAAATTGATGGTGAAAAACCTTGGGTTTGAATATTGTGTTTATCATGGCAGATAGCTTAACCTTTGCATCTCAAGTTCATTCCCTATATAATGGAGATGATATCACGATAATATCTACCTCACAAGTCTGAGAAAATGTGTAACAACTTATGGATAGCAAACAGAAGAGTGCCTGGCACTTAGCAGGTGATATGTACATGATACAAGTCCACCTGACTATGGATCTTGCCAGGTACTAGCCAGCCTCACCCAGAGTACATCTCATCTGCTTTCTCCATAAAGAAAATCTCATATCTCCAAATCCAAGCAACAACCTGATAAGCTCTGACCTGGAGGAGATCTGCCCCCCTCTCCTTCTTAGTCTTTGCCTGTCAGTACTAACTACTTAACCAACTGTTGAATGGGAAACAAATTGGCCCGCTGATCAAAACATTCCCCTGTTTTCTAATGTTTTACCTTTAAGAGACATGGCCTAAGGACAAGTAGTTAAGCTAATTACTTTCAGGTTCATACAATAGTCAACAATCAGGCTGTGCTCAACATATGACGCAAGTCCTTTCTACTTAGGAACAG